CTCTCTCTCTCTCTCTCTCGCTCTACCTCTCTCGCTCTCGCTCTCCTAATACAAAACATTGATTCAAACTGTAATAAATACCACCCCCTCTTCCCCCCAAAAAATTTTTAAAAAAAATAAAAAATACACCAAAACAAACCCAAACTATTTCTTCTCTTGCTATGTGAGCGTCATAAAAACTCACTTGAAAATAATGGCTTACTTGAAAGAATAAATAGAACACTTCAACATGCTGGAATGCAGACGGGGTGTACAAGGCAAAGAACAAAATCATGTTTCTTAACCTTGGAAGAAAACTACAAAAGAAAGTACAAAAACACTTTAGCCTTTTCGACGTTTCTCATTTCTGTGACACAATATGTGAGGTAGCGTGGTGGAGTCAGGCTCTCGTCAAAATAATTAAAGTGAAGAAACTTGCTTTTTTCCGCAGGTTTGTGATTCTTTATGGAATTTTTGTTTTTTGGCCCAACACCTTTCATGCCCATTAAAGAACTCATTTCTGTGTGAATTTTTCTGAAAAACGTTGATTAAAGGCACAAAAAAATTTAATTTTCTATTACCACGGACTCTTAAGCTAAGTAAATAACTAATCTTTGGCAGCAATTTTCTCACTAATTTTACCTCTGAAAACAGGTGACCCCAACCTCCTTCTTTCGCAAATATCTCAATTTGTATTCAAGATAAATGGATGTTTTTCACCAGAATAAAGACAAGTGAACAAGCTGTAAGGATATACCAATAACTCTACATGCCCTAAAATTGACGAGAGCCTGATTCCACCACGCTGCCTCACATATGGTTCTTAGCCACTGTTGTTTACCCCTGGTCCCAAGACAAGAGCTCTTTGTATGGCAGTCTGTACGAGATAGGATCTGATTTCTCATTGTATTTACAACGAGCAGCAACTAAAGACGACCTTGGAAGAAGCTCTCCGTCTTGTCGAAGATAACAGGTGTTCCGAGCTGTATGGAGTTGATGGTATCAGACCACGATGGATTCGCTCCGAGTTTTAGTGGAATCAGACCACTATACATTATTTCTTCTCTGGGTTTTAGTTGTATCAGACCACTAAACATTCTCTTTGGGTTTCGCCATTATCAGACTATGATGCATTCTTTCAGAATTTGTTTTGTTTGTTTTAGTAAGGTTTTACAGCGCTCGCAACTGCATGAGATAGTACGAGCGCCAAGGAGTGGAGATCAACAGAGAAATCCAAACGGGGAATCCGGCTTTTACGGGGTGCCCACTACGGCTAGAACGGGCCGATCGCCCGACTCGGTCGCCTGGAACTGAAAACAAACAAAAGAAGTAAAGAAAAAATTACGATAGTAAGGATAAGGGGAAAAAAAGGAGAAGTTAGTTCCCTTAAGTTGTTCCGGCACTGTATGAGTATGACACTGATACATCAGCCCATTTACAATTTTTACTGTGCATAAGAACATGTTAATATCCCCCCTTTGGGAAAGGCCTAAACATACTTTCCGTCAGTAACACTGCCCTGGTGGGGTTTCAGGGTTTTGGTTGTATCATACCACTATATATTCTCTTGGGGTTTCATTGGTATCAGACCACCATGAATTCTCCAAGCGTTCTCGTGATATGAGTCCATGATGAATTCTATCGGGGTTTTAGTGATACCAGATCAAAACTAATTCCCTCTGGTTTTCAGTGGAATCATGCGACCATGAATTCTCCCGTGGTTTAAATGTCTTTTTCTGGTTCTTGTGTTGTGATTTCGTTTATCGTGAACCTTTTACGCGGTCGCTTGCTTCGATGCGCCTCTTTTTCTTCTGTACATTCGGAAAATTCTAATGCGATATCAAAATGTCTGTTTTTAAATGAGGAACAGTTAGTAGATAGTTCAGGGAGCAATAAAATGTCGGGTGAGGGGTGTGCATGAGCTGGAATATCTGTTAGCACAAGGAATGGCGCAAAGAACACTGCGAACTTTTGGGGTTTTTTTGCAAGAAAGGGGGGGGCAGGGTGATGGAGAAGGTTGTAGTGCAGTAGAGGCCATTGGCTTTTAACCCACTTTCTGGTCGTCAATTTACTGAACCATGATCGCAAGATTGTAAGGTTGATAACATGCTCCTCTGGGCGAAAGTTTACTTTCCTTGCCTTCCTGAGTTCGCATATCATAAAAAAAGCTCTACTGTCATCTCGTGAAACAGGATGTACAGAAATGACTGCTGATATGTGAACAGATATTAACGCTGGTATGTCTACCCTTTCTAAACTAGGGCGTACACGGTTAATACACAGGCGTATACACAAATACATACAAAGAATTATTGTGATTGGTTTTATTCAAACAAATACGCCCCTTCCTTGTCCTGCCAGACGGTCTTCATGTTCTATGGGTTTTTTTTCTCACTCCCTCTCTCTCTCACTTTCTCCCTCTCTCTCTCACTCTCTCTCTTCCCTCCATCTCTCTTCCCTCCATCTCTCTCTCTCTCTCTCTCTCTCTCTCTCTCTCTCTCTCTCTCTCTCTCCCTCTCTTTCTCTTTTTCCTGTTTTGTTGTACTATCGCTATCTATCTATATGTCTATCTGTCTGTCTGTCTGTCTAACTGTCTATCTGACCAGAGAGAGAGAGAGAGAGAGAGA